GGGGTTGAATAAGAGGTAAATCAAAGTAGTACTCGAGCTACTGTAATCCAGGTTAACTGCCTAGTGCTCCGATAGATGACCTGTAGAACAGTCTTACTTTATTTACCATGTGCTGTGCCGAGCTTTTTCGTATAATGGCGAACGTCCTGTTGATTTTCTTGTTGTATGCTCACTATTCAGATAGTGGTTAGCAGCATATTTCGAAGACTTACAAAAAGCGAAGATCAATAGGTATTCCTATTTTACCTGACGTTCGCATCAGATGATTTTTAAATTGCGATTTGTGATTACAATTTCTGTTTTATATTCTCAATGACCAAACATAACGCCACCATTTGTGATACATTGAAACGTGATCACAAGTCAGATGCCGCAACAATGTCGTTAGAATGCCAGGGAACCATACCGCTGGTTCGAACTCTAGCAAAGACCACGTTTCCTTGCACTTTCAACTATCACGCTTTCATAGACCATTTAATGAGTCAACTTATAATTAAGTAGAGGTGGTATATAGATCGACTAGGATGTGTACTGAGAATACTATTAAAGTGATATCGGAAAACGTTAGGAAAAACCATCAATAAACAAGTTTTTCAGATCACCAACGTCTCTGGAGCTTCGAATGTCATAATTAGCGAGTAAAAAGCTTTCTTATATGTAAATTACTATCATTTTGGCAACCCGTGAAGTTTCTCTGAAGGCACAGTGTATAAATGCAACGTTTTAAGTAAGGAAAGTAGATAAATGGTGCTAAATACTAATTCGGCAGCTACCTAAAGATTCTTATGTCAAACTGTGAACTACATTTGATCTAATGATTGTATTTATACTAAGTGGTTGCCATATAGTCTGTAAATGAGTCAGCGGCCCAAAATCACACTAATAATGTGGAATTTTCTCGCGTTTTGAAACTTAAAAGTCACCATGGAACTACGGTATTTTTCTTGTTCCCTTTAGAACAATGTGACATCTAGGCTGCTATGAGAAACTTTAAAAGATTTAGTCAGCTGTTTCTTGTTATACTGCAAACCAACAAAGCTCTCACCAGATAATTTAATATTAGCTCTTTCAGAAACTAGTTTCAAAGTGGTACTGAATCTCAATAGTATTAAAATTCCCAAGTAATAATGCTGATCACACAAACCTTTCTCATCAGTTTTAATGATATAGGGGAATGTTGAGATTGATATTTACTAAGCGCCAACTAAAAAGGCGACAGTAAATAAAACGGCCTAGACAATGGCCGAAGAGTCCGTGAATATACTCCTGAACATTTTAGACTTAGCAATAAACCCCACAAGATGATGAGAATTACTAATGAAAACTACTGAGAGTACTTATCGAAGTTATTCTTCAAAGCTCAAGTGAATGCCTTTAGTCTCTGTGCCTTCATGAGATTTCAGAAGGTTTAATGGAATGATAGGGCGTTTCGCAGTTCTACCGCTCTACATAACTTCTTCTCTCATACCTTCAGTAGATGTAGTAAAATGAACTGTTGAACCCATAAAACATAATTTTCAGACAGAAAACTGGTACTATTGACTTGTGCATATATATGTAACCAATTTAAGCATGAGTTTGTTACTGTGCAACACTCGCTAAGCAAGCTGTTGCCGGAAGACGTGTCGAAGGTCATCCCACTCAAGATATATAGGATGGCCAAAAAGAGACAGTCCTTATAGAAAACAGATTTCATCTACTCAAAGTCATGTTTAAACCAGCAGTGGAGAGAGATATCATTCCGAAGAATGCTCATAAACTTCGACAAGATAGCGTTCGTGGGCAAGGATTCTTTTTTTCTGATCCCATCAAATAGCGGAGAGCAGAGGAACAGCTGAAATTCCGGTTATCAGCAGGAAGAAACGATTCGAAGGTGTTGAGTTTTAGTTCAGTGAGCTTTCAGAAACATATCATGTCGAAGCCTCCGTGGATCGGATAAAAACTCATCTGAGCGGTTTCACTGGCTTGTATGCAAGTGAACCTGTTCAACTCAGAAAGTATGCCGACCGAACTATTCCAGCAAGCATAGAAAGCCCTGACGTGATCGCTAGCTCAGAAACCTGGCTCTCTTCCAAGATCGGCGACGGCAAGACACACAAGGATTCATTCCTTCTCTCAATGCTAGATCAGCGAGCAGGGGTGGCGGTATCGTCTTCTACGTAGGAAACACCTTAACCGTCAGAACCGCAGAAACGATGGCATAAGAAGTTGGGATACATGAGATGCTGCATTGTCGACCGGAATGTGAGGAACAAGATGTCAACCTTGTTGTGGCATATCGAATCTCCTAATATGAGATGGAAGATTTCTTCCGGAGTAAGCTGACTCTCTGGATAGATAAATGCAGATTTCTAGTTGTGGAAGACCTCAGACAACCACCTGGTGGCTAGGATAACCTTAAAACAGAAGGACCATGTATTCCTTCTGACCATAGGTTTACGGGAACATCAGTTTCACTAGATCCCACACAGCATATCAGAGAAACAACTCAGTAACGTGATCAGCATTTTCCATGCTTTCTAGACTTAGTGTTCTTGCATACAGATGATGTGGGCTCAACTCGGCACCTAACACCTCTCTGGTAAAAGAGATCATTATATGATCATCTTCGAGTTCACGGGAACCGCCTTGTGCCAGGGCGACACCCAGGCTAGACCAACTATGTGGAAGGCGAACATGGTCGCTCTTAGCTCCACTGCCTCTTCTACAGACTGGACAGTCAATTCAGAAGCCTCAGTTGAGGATGCGTGGTGTCACTTCAAACAGTTGTATGAACGAGTGACTGAACCGAAGAGGTTAGACAGTCTTCCACGAATACACTGAGAAATCTGAAGTCAACTTTGACGAAAGGTGCATGTTGTTGTTATGCTGGTCACCATAGTATTTCTGAGATGAAACAGTACTACAAAGAAGCTCGGAATATATGTAGCACTTCCATCCACTGGTCTTAAATATGCTAAAGGAGCATCTTATGCAGGCTGTAGTCGAACATTCGGAGAGGCTATTTTATTATATGAGCTACAGAAATAATGCACATCGTGGTATCCGCCTCTTAATCGAAGAAACAAGAAGTAACCGGTTAATTGATGACGATAAAGACAAAGCAGGTTAAGGTTGGGTATCTTGCCGAGGTCTTTTCCAGGACCGTTCGGTGGACACAAACTCAACAAAGCAGCACTAACATCCAACCGAACAAACTCTACAAATATTGATTGCAATGATGTATTAAACGTGTTAAGTACTCTGGATAATGGGAAATCAGCAGAGCGACATGAGCTACACCAAGAGCTGTTCAGACGGCTTTTACCCTACATAGCTGGCTCGTTGACTGTCATATTTAGAGCGCTTTTCAGTGTCGCTACCTTCCACTATAACTGGAAGGATGTTATAGGGACGCCTTTCTACAAGGCAGGTTGTGGGCAGTAACCACCAAGTTATAGACCGATTAATTTTGTTTGTATTAGAGTTAATATCCTGGAAAGAATAATCAAAAACGCCCATTATGGCAGACCTGGAAACAGCGTTGTTAAGTTCATGACATGACTTTCGCAGGGGTCTCTCTTGCTAGATAAATTTTTCCACAGTCATGGAAAGATGCGTTAACTCTAAGGAAGAAAGGATACCTATGGATATTGTTTTCACCGACTTCAGTAAGGTATCCTGCAGTGTACTTAACTCCAAGCTGCTCAAGAAGCTGGTTAGCGCCGGAATATTCAACAATATACTTGAATAGATCAGAGAGATCCTTGTGGGTAGGAGATAAAGAGAAATGATCAGTTTTTAACCGTCCTCTCGGAAGTCGGTACAGAGTAGAGTGCCGCAAGGTGCTGTCCTTGATTTCCTGTTAACTCTCCTGTACATAAATGAGTTTTGGAATATCACAAAATGCTCCATATTTCTTTATGCTGGTGACATAAAAGTTGGGTGAGAAATTAAGGATGATGAGAATGTACATACACTCCAGATGGGCCTGAACGGTTTAGTAACCTGGTCAGAGAAACGGCTGATGTCAATATATCAATGTACACATATAGAATGTGAACGGTAGCACCAACAATATTGATGAGATTTGTCTACCCTCAATATTGACCAACACTGACCCACGAACCGCAATAAGCGACGATTTGAAGACCACAGCGCACCATCCATTGGTGGCAGCTCACAAACTTTAGGCATTAACCAGAACTTTTGTCAAGACAAGTAGTGATACGCTTAGCACCTTATTCACATCCTGAGTTAGCCGTAAAGTAATAGACCGTGCACAAGCTGCAAATCCTTGTCTGTGAGGTGACTCATACCTTCTTGGAAGAGTTCATAGGATTGCCACCCCTATGGTCCCTGTGATGTTAGCGTGATTTACGAAGAGCGACTTCAGGACCTAAATCCCTTCTCTTTATCCGCTCACAGACACAATGAAGATTTAGTCATCTTATACAGGATTGTAAGAAATGACTGTCTACCTGACCTATCTTCTCTCTTTTCCACAGGTTGGAACACATCAGAGGACATAACAGAACAGTATGAAACCGAAGGACGAATGCCCTCTCTGCACAATACTGGCTTTTCTGTTGAGTAATCAACTCTTGGAACTGACTTCTAGAGGAATTGGTGCCCACGTCATACACTGAATTGTTCTAGAGATAAGCACAAAGATCTACTGGAAAATGGTTGATATAGGCTCATAACCTCCTGTCCTCAAACCAAAATCCGAATATATATATATATATATATATATATATATATATATATATATATATATATCGCTTAATGCATAAAACACGATTTGACTCTAACCTTCATGACTGCATTTTGCCAATATATGAATGCTTTCTCTATCTTGTGGTACTGAAGGGGAAATAAGGAACTGAAGTAAGCGTATGGACAGTCACCTTAGAACATTCTACATACGGCTATGTTGTACGATTCGACATGCATTTCAATAATCATATGTATAGGTTAAAATGAAGAGCATTTGTATCAAGGATTACAAATTAACCTACTGGTCTTGCGTAACGGTCAACTTCAAATCCTTCTCGTGATACTTTAGTTTGTTTTCTGTACGCGTTTCTTCAATTAGTTTTTCCATTTCTAACGTTTTAGCTTGTAGCTGAGTTCTTTCAACGCTGAGGTCTTCTAGTGATGCTATTTTTCCAGCTGCCGAAAGAATAAATAGATATATGGTCAAATAACAAACTCAAAACAGCCTTCTCCGAGTTAAGCCTTTCTTCTAAAGCCTCGATCTCAAACCTGATGTTGGCTACAATGTTATTGTGTTCTTGTTGTTTTTCGCTCATCCTACAGCATAGTGCATTTAAGTTTTTCTTCAACTCATTGACATCAATATCTGGAGTTCATTGATCGAATAAAGCTTATAAAACTACCTTTGTTCTGAATACAGTTTTCAAGGTACGTAGTCAACCCCTCACTGTCCAACTCATTTCTTTTAGCTTTGGCGAAAAGCTGTGTGTTGATATCTTTTAGATTATCGATTGCATACTGAAAACTTATTGCTTTACTGACAATTTCAGTGATTTACTCTTTTGTTTTCTTTTTTAGTGACGCAATCTGTGCTTCGTATACTTGTGGATCAAAAGTGGCTGTATTTTTATCATCTGGGTTTCTTTCGCTCTTTTGGGATGACCTAGTGCTTTTCCTACTTTTTTTCTTTTTTTTGCCATTTAGCAGGAATTATGCAAATTCACTGCACTTGGTTGTTATGACTACCCAATATCCAATATCCAATATTGATAGTGAGAGCGTAGAAAACTGATAGTTTTTTATCTCTCCTGTCTAGTTCTTAGGGCTTGGTTCTAGTTGTTCGGTTCACTCCTGCAGTGGACGAGGAAATCTACGATTTCTTGTTTTTAGCCTCGGTAAGGTGGGTGTTTTGTGGGTTTGTAAGTTGTAATTGGTCGAGTGATTGGGAGATACGGGATGCTGGGACGGTTCCAGTATCCAATATCTTTTTACAAGCCAGTGTAAACCAAGTGATTTGTTCGCGCTCATTTCTAGGTCTTGCGGAACGGTTTTAGGTCTTTGGTGTATTCCGATGCAATAGGTTTACCCACTTGACTGCTGAAGTTCTGGTTCGTCCGACGGGAAGTTGGGTGTTGGTTAAATTTGTAGGGGTGTTGTCGTTTGTTTGTTTTTCTTCCAATGACTTCGGTGCAGGTGGGTTCCTCAAGTGTCGTACCAGCAGACAATTGATCGGACTGCTTGTAAAAAGGAGATGGAAAATATGTCCAGAGAAATCAAGGGAGAGAAAGTCCAAAGAAAAACAAATAGAAAAAGGAAGGAAAAATGAAAGAAAAAGGCGATTAGGAAAAGGAAACGCAAAGTCAGTAGGAAGAGGAATACATAACATTATAGGGCGGATGGGAATGGAAATATTAACTCTATTAGTAGAAGACGGTATCTGGAGGAGACGTCTGTAAGAAGGTATGAAGTTGAGACAAGTTCACAGTGATAGTGGTTTTAAAAAGTATTCAGTAACGGTTGGCCGTCAGTAGGTCGTGTCAGCCTAGTCCACATCCCAGTTGGATGAGCACAAACCGTGCGTCGCTGCGTAACTGTCCAACCTCTTCTTGAAGCTGTCAGCAGACGAAGCAGTAGCAATCTCGGCAGGAAATGCATTCCAGTGGCCGGAAACTTGCAGGGGAAGAAGTGTGATCGCATACAGGTTTTCGCCCTTTGGTGGGCGATTCTCACTGGGTTACTACGAGGATCGCCATAGTGGCCGTTAGGTAGTATTCCGCTGTTCGGATAACTTGGCTACTGAGTATTTTGTAAGCCGTTATCAAGTCACCACGTAATCTATGGTAGCTTAGGGAGTAAAGCCCTAAATCTTTCAGCCTGTCTTGGTATGTTTTTTACCTCGTTCCCACGACACCCTTTGTAGCTGGCCTTTAAGCTTTCTCTAGGAGGTTCACGTCTCTTTTCAGATATGGTGGTGTAATGACGCTGTGTACCTCTAGGTGGGGTCATGTGTAGGTCTTACACAGCCTCAAAAAGAGTCCTGGGGTCAGAGCACCCAGTTTTCTGCGCATGAAGTGCAGTACTAAATAAACAAATAAATGTTCGTTCTCACATTAGTAATTTAACATGAGATAAGCCAGTTTACAGGCATCATCACATTGATATATGTCGAAAAATCTACAAGATTTTACGGGTCCTGAATAGTACAGAGGGGAGGTCGTTTAACTCCATCAAAAATATCAGATCGCGGTTACGGGACAAGGAAAATGCCAGTTTCAGTATATGAAGTGAAGATAATAAAAATTCCCATTCCCACATAGTGGATTTAACATGACAGATACCAGTTCACAAGCACCGTCAAAATGATGATTTTGAAAGTTTACAGAATGGTGCCGGGAATTATATAACTCACATAGCAAGTTATTGATGAGCATAAACTTATTAAAACTTGCTGCAAATCAAGAGACGGGTATGGATTTCCATCTGTCATTACAGAGACAGGTTCTACTACCAACGACAAAAGCTCTCAATGTTCGAAGTCTGCGTTATAACCAGACGACGTTGTTAGTCTACTTGCATAGTTTCTTATTTAGTGATATTAACATACATTCACGAGAATGTTCCCCAGTTTTTGGCTTTGCTAACCACAAAGGGCCTATTTATGCGATAAGGATTATCAGTAAGTATCCACAGTTATACAATCAAGGTGAGTGTCTGAATCCATGCATTTCCAGTTCACCATGTGGTTTAAAGGTAGCATACATAAATTCCACTGGGAGTACTTGTGGTAGTAGATGAAAGTAGACGTTGAGACGGTTAATAGTCCAAACGGCAGCAGTTATATATGGACTTCAGGAACCGTTTATATTAGCGTAAGCAGCGTAAGCTGCATAGGCTCTGGAGGCATCTCCTGGATAACTGGAGCTAGTGTCTAGTTCGTCAGTCAGTATTAGTCCTAAGTCGTTCTCTATGGTGGTGTAGGAGAGCTGTGTTCCACACAGAAAATAGGGTACATTCTGAGAGTTTGGGGTGCGGAGAAACATGACCTGGTACTTATCTAGATTAAATGCAAGTCGAATAATATCCACCCAAGTAATCTGAGGTCACTTTGCAGTGCACTTGATTCTATTTCCTACGTCACAGCTGTCCATAACTTAACACCACTAGCGTGCAAGAGAATTGGCCGGCGGAGATTCAGTCGGAAGTCCTTCACAGAAAGAAGGAATAGCAGTGGACCCAGAATCACCCCTCATGATAAACCGGATGATGATGTCCTCCAAGTGGAGCAAACCCTGTTGGCTTTTCTGCAGAATTGTCTACCGTCTATATACTCCTGCAACCATAAAAGCACCTGTCTCTCGACGTCCAACCTTTCTATTTTGTGAATAAGAACAGTGTTTGTGATTGCATCGAAGGCCTTAGCGAAATCCAGGAAAATAACATGGACAGGAATTTGGAGGTTCCAGCATACGCTTATCACCTGCCGCCAGGATGTCTGTGGTACAAAAACCTACCCTTTCTGAAGACATGTTGGGCATCACTAAGTGCTCCTGACATGGTCGTCTACTAGGTCCTCGATTACTTTTGATACCACCGGTAGAATGGCTATGGGTTAGTAGCATTTTGGGTTCTGCCTGTCTCCACCTTTGGAAAACGGCGAACAGAATGGCACTTTTTCACTCTTGTGGAAGCATGTGATTGTCTGAGAAGTCTTGAAACAAGTTACACGGCGGACAGCACAGGGCACCGGCGCATCGTTTCAACGCGGCCGGTCGGATGTCATCACATCCTGGTGATTTCCTCGCGTCGAGCTTTGCTAGTTTTTCGCAGACCACAGCAGGAGTTACCTTTATTCCAGGCAGCTCTACTGCATTTGTTGGTGCTGAATCTTGGTCGGACATATGGTACGTTTGGTTCCATAGGGACGCATTCAGTTGCGTATCAAAGGTGGCGCTAAGGGCTTCGGCGACCTCTAGACCGGAGAGGTTCTCTCCGTCTATGCCTGCTGGGGCGCAAGCCCCCTGGCTGGTGGATTTTCTGCCTGTCATAAGCCGATATAGGTTCTTGGGATTCGCCTCAAGCTACTGGGCAAGGTTCGTCTGGAACGACCTCCTATCTCCCCCCACCCTAATGTTACATCGATTTCTTGGGGCAATATATGCGGTGTGGTCAGACTCTTTTCTGGAGGTCCTCCGCTTGTGCCACGCTTTCCTCTTGGCTTTCAAAAAGCGTTCATTGCCTTGCTTCAGCCTTGAGGTTCGCTTCCGCGGTATTGCTGCGATTCCTGGGACGTTTTCAGAGACAGCCTTCTTGATGATATCTCTGACTAGTTCCCAATGTTGATCAACCGAACAGTTGCTCCACTCCTGAGCCCATGGTGCTATCGACACGTATTGGTTCAAAGCCACGAATTTTGCCCTTCTGTAGCAAGGACAAGGGCGAGATCCCTCTCATGACAGTTGTTCGTTGAGTACCAGATCAAACACCACCAAACCGTGTTCTCTGCTGCCGAGGGGGGTTCGAACCTGTACATCTTCTACCAGAGGTGGTCGCTGGTAAAAGGTAAAAAAAAGACGGACGGCTTTCCGCCCTACCCCAGCGAGTGTCATCACCAACATCCTCATGCACTCTAGTCTTTTTGACACTATTGAGTAAGTTTCGGTCGAACCTTCAGCTTGAGTTTTCCCTGTCCGGATGGGGGACCGTCGTGACCCCTGTCTGTATGGTTGCCTGAGAGAATAGCAAGGTAGTGGTAAAGAGTGAAGAGATTGAGTGGGAATGAAAAAGGAAATAAAAGGAGGCGAGAGGGAAAAAGAAGAAAGAGGGGCAAAGATGAGAAGTAAAAGGGAGAGAAAAGTATGTGCGAATTGCCCGAACTGTAAAAATAGGTAGCGTGGGTCTATTTTCTGGAAAAGAATTAGTAGGTTATGTGAGTGTATTAAGCTGGGTAGGAGGAAGGTGGGGTGGGCTAGTGAGGATGGTGACTCCCTGATTGCGTCCGTGGTAGACTACACGAGGTGACATAACTGTATAACCGTCTCTTTAATGAGTCAACTGAGGGGGTATAACGATATGCCGCGGTAGCGCATTCCATGAAGCGCATACTCTCAAGGGCGAAAATGGAGCTGAATATGGTGCTGGCCCCCTGATATGCCATCTTAATGGGGTTTTCTCGTGAGGACCGTTGTGTCGCAGACAAGGTTGATATAACTGCGGGGTTTACCCGATGGGCCATAACAAGATCATTCCCTTCCCACGCTAACCTGAGGTGAATAGGTTTAGGTGTTTAGGCCTTTCAGGATATGTCTTTCCCCTTAGCCCCACAACTGATTTTGTTGCAGTTCTTTGTATTTTTCAAGGAGATTAGAGTCTCTCTTGAGTGTTGATGGAGCCACCGTACTGAAGACCTCTAGATGCGGCCGCACATAGGATTTGAAAACTGTGAGGAAGAGTCTGAGGATGAGGGCGCCAAGCTGTCTACGCAGAAAGTGCAGAGTGGCGTTCGCTCTGGTTGCCATATCTTTGTAGTTGGAGCTGGTGTTCAAGGTGTCGGAGAAGTTGAGCCCCAAATCTTTCTCCATACAAACTCTGGTGATAGCACGGTTGCTCAAAATGTAATGGAAGCCGGTCGTACTTGCTTCATGTTAACCGATGTGTATTACTTTGCACTTTTCCAGGTTGATGCTCAAGCCACTTTCTGATGACCAGAGTTCGAGTTGCTGTAGGCCTTCTTGTTCTGCTGT